ACAAAAAAAGGAAGTAAGGGAGGGAGGGAGGGAAGAAGGAAGATAGAAAGGAAACGGGGGAAAGGAAAGAGAAGAGAAAGAAAGATCGGGGACCTCAGCTTCTAGGGCATAAGAAAAAGTTACAATCATTAAGACAGTGCTACACTGAAACATGGATAGAGATCAGTTAAACAGACCAGAGAGGCCAGGCACACACCCATGCGTATGTGGATATTTAATTTGCTAGAGGGAGGTGCTATCAAGGGGAGAGGGAAAGGCAGAAAGAATTCACTTTTCAATAAATGGTGCTGGGACAATTGGTAATCCATATGAGATAAACAAATGAAATTGGACTTCAACTTCACACCACAGGCAAAAATCAATTCCAAATAGATGAAACACCTTCATGTGAAGAATAACTTTAAAACTTTTGTTAGACAATATAGAAAAATATCTTTATGTCAGCAGCCTATAAGGAATGATTTTTCAAACAAAAAACAGAAACAATAAAGAAAACTATTGATGATTTTTACTTCTTTTCCTCAAAATGCAGAAACCAAAGAAATTTCTTTCTTTCTCGACAAGTTAAAACAAACAAACAAACAAAAAACTGTTATTACAATGGGCAAAGGATAAGGCTATTATTCACAGAAGAGGCAATTTCAGTATCAAAAAAAATGAAATAGGGCCGGCAGAGTGGCGCGATGGTTAAGAACTCGCTTGGGATGCCAGAGGGCCCCGGTTCGGATCCCACATATGAGGGCCAGTGACACTGCCCTCCACAGCTGGGGTGCTGGACGACAGCTCAACCTGGAGCTGGGCTGCCGTGAGTCGCCGGCGACGGCGTGGGCTGCACTCCCTGTGGCAGTGGGTTGCCATGGGATACCGTATGTAGCCAGCAGCCAGCGTGAGCGGCCAGCAACTGCTGTGAGCGGCCGTCCAGAGGCCGGCGACTGATCTGCCTCGCCAGAGAAGAGCTCAATGATGGTGCCAACTTGGGCCAGTGAGGCAGCGTCCTCCACAACTGGATTGAGGAACAAAACGACAGCAACTTGTCTGTTCCCCTTCCCCCAATTCCCCAGCACTGTTCCCATCCCCCCAATTCCCCAATTAAAAAAAAAATCTTTAAAAAAAAAAAATGAAAGGCATTCAACCTCATGGGAAAGTCAAAATAAAATCTCAATGTAATATATTTTCATATTTAAAGACTGGCAAAGAATAAAAGGTCTGACAACATCAAGTGTCTCCAAAGATGTGAAGTTAAAGGAATTCTCAGGTCATGCTGATGGAAATATCGTTTGGTACAACCACCTTGGGGAAAACTTGGCAATATCTTATAAAGTGAAATAATGTGCAGAATCCTGGCACCCAGCTAGGCTTCTCCCAACTATCCACCATTGAGCATTGTTTTTCAAATGCAGGTAGCAAACAATTTTTAATTGATCAAGAAATCAATTCAGTAGGTTGAGACCAACAAACTTTTTTTTGAGATCAATATTTTTTAATGAGATACAATAGAATTAAATAGGATATCCCAGAATGGATTGCACTAAAGGTAGATTTCATGAAATACTTGTTCCCATTATTTATAATGTACCCACATAAATATGTATTAATAACTGGGTTTCAATGTAAATTTTATTTATTACCATAGATTATGGCTAAAAATGTCTGAAAGCCACTGACCTAGAGAAATTATCATACATACACAAAAAGACATTAACAAAAATGTTATTTGCACCATTTTTAATAAGAAAAATATTGGAAATATTACCGTCCATAAATAGAATAAATATTAGTTACAACCATACAATATAATACTATATAACAATGAAAATTAGTGAACCAGAGCTACAGGTATCAACATAGATAAATCTCAAAGTATAATGTTAATAAAAACAAGTTACAGAAGATATGTGCAGTATGATGATACCATTTACAGAACATTTAAAAGCATGCAAAACAATTCATATTGTTTAGGGATACATACATATCCCATATATGGGAAAAGGAAACAGACATGCATGGGAATAAACACCAAATTCAGAATTGTGGTTACCTCGGCAAAAGAGGGAGGGAATGTGATGGTGGAGAGTTATACAGAAGGCCTCAATTATATTTGAAAGACTTTTATTATTCAGTTGATTGGTGAATATATAAATGGTATTCCTATTCTTTTGGGGTTTCATAATTGTTTAAAAGGGAAAGATATCATAAAGACTAAAAAGACATCTGGTTTAAAATTTATAAAATCTCCAAGAAAAAGAACAATCAATTTAACTACAATACAAATAAACCATAACTTTTCCACATCAAAAATATCAGAGAAGGAGGTTTCTGATAAAATGGTGAAATAGGTAATGCATCTATTTCATGACCTTCCCAAGATTCAATGGGTGAAGCAAAAACAAACAAAAAACCCCCCACAAAATAAGTAAATCTATGGGAATGATAAAAACAAAGGAGTTGTCACTAACAGATCAATATTTGTGATGAGTTTCAGGAAGCTGGAAAGCAGGAGGCGGGTCTTACCGGAGATAATCCTGCATGCTGCAGCTTAGAACTGGCAAGAGATGCTGCAGTGCAGACGCAGCAGTTCTTTCTGACAGAATGCCATATGCCCCACGCTGGAGTCCGCACATACAAAGACTAGGCTGGGACTGTGGTTAACTGTGGCTAATCGAGTGGGTGTGTAATTAAAGGTCTGTCTACTCTACAGCTATTCCTGGAATACCAACAAACCCATTCCACCCCCAGCCCACTCCCACCACTGCCATGACACACACAACCAACGCACAGAGCAGCCGCCTGAGGGAACCTGCAGCTGAAGGCTCAGGATCTGCTCTCTAAACAAAACAGAGTATATCTATTAAGGAAGGATGGAGCATGTGGGTGTTTAATCTGTGGAGATAGCTAATAACTGCTACAGTAGAACCAGAGGAGGGGGTAAGGAATGGCAGTTGCACCTGGCACAAAAGATACCAAAGTCCTTCTACCCCCAGAAGCAGTCTTCCTTACTTTGGCAGTTACAGAGTGAGCCTGCCTCTTCCCTTCTACTCACTCTAAAGGGAAGTCTCCCAATGTGTGGGATTCAACAACTTCTAGGGAGAGGTGTTATGTTAAAAAGACCTATTCAGCTGCACTGGAGACCCAGCCACTACTTAACATGGTCTTCATTTAAGGATTACCAGCCACTGAGAAAAATCAAAACCATGCAGAGGAAAAAAGAATAAGTGTGACAACTGACCATGGAGAAAAGATGAGCTCATGGGAAAAAAAAAATCCTCAAATTTAAAAAGCTCTTGGTTCTTTTAGGAAAAGAATGCTTTGAAAATGAAACAAGTAAGAGTTGGATAATGTTTCTTATTTATCCTTATATGTATACTCATAATTTCCTATAAATTAATATGCAAGATACTTGACATAACAATGATGCCATCTGTTTATCTACTAAATCTTTTTAACTTTTAGAAATCAATATAATTTCCTTTTCCCTAAGATGTTTACTGCTGCCTAAGCTATAATAGTGATGATTAGACATAATACTCAATGGGAAATTCAGTAAGCAATTTCCTGGATATGAACAATGCACTTTCCAAGTGAAAGACAAAATACAGACAGGAATATGCTAGGGCCAATAGATTTCTGTACCCCACTCTAACAAAGATTTCTGGATTCTTACCGTACCCAGTGTCTTGATGGCATATTAAGTCCAGCTTAAGCAATTTCTAGACTCAACAATGTAAAAGATTAATTCAATCTGCTTGTCTTTTAAAATAAACAAGTCATTTCCAATATTTTAATCCAATCTGGGGAGGACCTGACAGAATTTATAGGCTCTGGAGTAAATCCAAGTCCTGAAGAAGGTTCTGAAATTATCCCAACCTCCTAGGAGATGTGAGCATTACATGGCTCAGATTTTCTGGGAAACTTAAAAAATGTCAGTACAATGAGGCCTAGAAATAAGACATCATCTGTCCCCCAGCCTTTTCAAGTGTACCACTTACTGCACACTTAATTATTTACTAAGGAACTCAGTGTCTTGAGAAAGAGTTAGTTTGTGCCTTTAAAAGTGTTTAAATGATATCCAGAGAACCTAATATAGTTTTCTACGGCATGTAAGCAAAAGAAGCTGGTTAAAAGAACAAATGTTTTTATTAATCATTAGAAGTCTTCTTGGGCTGTATCATATCATACAGCTGGAAAGCCGTAGTTTTAGTCCTCTTCATATGTGCCCAGCACAAAAAACCTCAGCGTCAGCTGTTACATAGTTGCTGAAGTTGAGTAAAACTATAAATCTAACAAGATTTATCTTCAGAGTTCCGAAGTTGCCTTTCGGTAGTTTTGTGCCCACAAAGCTAACTTTTTCCCTTATGCTCACATGCCAGTTCTCCTCTGTTTTTGTCTTTTTTCAGAGTCAATGAGCCAAAAAGGACCTGAGAGAGAATCTAGTCCGATGCCCTCATTTTAGAAAAAGGTAAACTGAGGCTTACACCATTAAAGTGACTTACCCAACATCACACAGCCAATGAGAGACGAAGCTAAGACCAGAACTAGGTCTCTGATGCCCTATGCAATGCTCTTTCCACTAGACCAAGCTGCCCCTTAAAAACTGCCAAGAATATGATAGTTACGCATGTTTTAACAGCCCTCAACCTCCGAGGTGTTTCCCTCTTGCTGCAACAATACATCAACTTTCAATCACCAATTACCTTCTTTCTTATTAATTCTACACCCATAACAAAACAGGAAAGGATTTAATATACATTTATACTAGCTGATTAATTTACTGATAATATTCCTATTGTTTTTAATTTTATATCTTTTAAAACAGAAAACACCTGAATTCTCCCCAAATCAAAAAATTATAAAGCTTAATAATTATACACACAATTTAAATTCAGAAAAAAAGCTAAATTAGCTTAGATGCTTACTTACTTACTAAAGCAATGATATAACATTTATTTCATTTCCTTAAAAGAAAAGCTGGAATCACATATTGATTCCATTTTAGTACTCACCACAAAAGTGATTTGATTGTGCCGCAGGTTAAGTTCAGTTAGTGAATCCAGCCCATTAAGATTATCAACGTGGCTTAAAAGGTTCCTGGCTAGGTTTAAAACTCTCAAAGCACACAAATGATTGACATTTTCGATTTTGGTAATCTGTTAAAAATGACGACGGGATGATTAGCAGGCATAAACCTCAGATATGTATGTTATAAAAACCTTAAAAATGAAATATACAGCCACTGGTCTCAGTGACAAGTTTATATGAAGACACTTAAAAATCTATTTCCAATATCTTCTGGTATAGATAATATGAAGTTATGTAACTTGTGAAAATTAACTAAAGGAACTTATTTCATAATTAGACTATATTAAATATTTGAAGTAAATTTTATCAAATAATCAAAAAGTCCATCATTTGGGACATCTCTAAGTGCCTAACACTGTGCCTGGAGGTGACAAGAAATATACATACTGCCTGCCAAACAGAAACTTACTTTGAGCCCACAGCATGAGCTCACAATGTTGTGACCTAGCAAGACCACCCTCTGAGAGAAAAGGCAAGGAAAAGAAACGATACCAAGTTCCCCTTGTTAATTACGTTTACAGTGCAGCATCCTGAGAGCAGTCAAGAGTCTGAACGAAAAAGATTCAAGGAACTAACATCCACAGTGGAGGGCGAGAATGGATATTCTTTATTAGTGGAAGTGCTGAGGAGAGGAGGCAGATAATGTGTAGTCAGGTGCAATATGGCGGACACTAACTGTTTAGAATGAGAAGGCTTGAATCATGGAGTGTTCGTACATGCACAGAAGCACTGAGCAGCAGCCAAAGAGTTCAAGTCACACAGTAGATCAGGGTAAGTAAAAGCTATACCCGTGATGTGATGAGAGCTCAACGTGATTCCGATCCCCACTGTTATTAGATTATTGCAAGCCTAGCACAATGGGATGAATTTCTACATGGCACAGAAGGAGGGGTCGCTGCAGAGGACTTGATCAACCTTTTAATGTAACATACATAAGTAATTATGAATCATATAACACTGTTCTTCTGAACATTAAAAAAATAAATCTCACAATCACTAGAGATTAATTTTCTCATCTATACCACCATCACAGTATTATTTAAAATTTATTATTTATCACTTCAAAAGCAGATGTTGGATAAAGGAACTTTTTTTAGATTTATAATCCAGTTCCTATGTTGTTATTTGGACCTTCTCTAACATTCGAGAAATACCATCTGGATTCCATATAGGTTTCAGAGGAGAAACCTAAGAGTGCTATTGTAAGTTCAATCATATATAAAGGTAACATCTGATCATGCTTTAAAATTTGTCCTAAGATTTTTGGTCTAATGTAAAATGAAAATAAATTAAATAAAAATTATAAAAGAAACAAAGCTATCAGTATTCTATCAGATGACAGAACTGAATAATAAAACTTGGACAAAAATATTTCAAAAAAGTAGGTGATAGAATTTGAAATGTATGGAATCAGAAAAAGCAAAATAGACCCTGTAGAAAATCAGTAATGTCAACATAAGTTTGAGAAATTCTCCTAAAATACTAAGGAAAAATAGAGACAGGAAGAATAAAAGATGGGGATATGGAACACAGACAATATAGATATAACAAACATAAATGGAAAAGCAATACTTAAACATATACAATAAAACTTTCCTGAGTTCAACAAAGATATAAATATATAGAATGAAGGGCACAATTGTTGTATGACCTGTGTGTGGTGTCTTCCCCCTTCTGCTAATTATCCTAGGGCATTTCTTTTAGAAAACTACATTTCTCCAATTCCATTTGGTACCAGTGGGACTTACAATTGGAATGCCTACATTTCAGTTTCCTTTCAGTTTGGTAAGTCTGAAAAGAAACATTGGTAATTGTAATATATAGGTATCAACCTGTAATAATAATAATAAAAAATCACTGGGGATATTGTTGAGCTTCCTGGTTTACAATCAAATAGGCCAGAATCACACGCAGCATTTCTGATGGAATAGTCTATTACTCACTGCAGCCAGGGACAAAGCCACAAGCAAGGAGTACATGATGCAAAAACCTCAGGCAAAGGATCGGGTAGGGTGAGAGCACAGATCTTGATTAGTTAATAAACTTCACAGCAAGAAGAAAAAAGATGATGAGAATGTTCCAAAGCCCAATTACAGGTCACACTAATCAGAGGGGGAATCCCAAGATAGCCTGCAAAGCTTCTTAATACATCTAGGAAAGCTGGATACTCCAGCCTTATCTTTTTGTATAAGAGTAACCTAGACCCCTCTCTATCGGGATGACAGACAGCAATGCTGCAAGGGGAAATGTCTGCTCTCAGGCAAGTGACCACAGAAAGGGCAAGCTCTCCCTGAATGAAAAAATGTCCCTGAAAGAACAGATTCTTGAAGCACATTTGGGTTCGTGTTAAAGCAAGTATTTAACAAGAAAACAAATTCTGGTAGACTAAACAAAATCTAGGTCAGAAATTGAGAGTCAACCTCCCAGATTCCTTTGCATTCTTCACTACTCACATATAACCAATTGTTAAATCATGATGTTTCTACTTTTTAAATATTTATCCAATCTGACGCCTTATGATATCCCTATTGCTACTGCTTTAGTTTAAGCTATTTTCACTTCTCACCAAGATAACTAGGTTAGACTCTCAACGGTTGTGTCTCCAGTTTCATACCCCTCCATCTCTTTCTGTTCCCCAGTCTATTTCTCAAACACTATCATCATTCCTCAGAATGTTTCACACCCATAAGCTAAATTGTATTTTATTCCACAATGTACACCAAGTATCATTTTTATTTCCAACAGAAGTTCAGGAAACAAAAATTATTCGTGTAATTTTATTTTAGTTTTTTAACTACCTGATGAAATTTTTTTAAGAGTTGGACATTGACTTTTTAAAAACCTAAGGTCACGAAGACTGCCTTTGCTTTGAAATACTCCAAATGTTTGCTTATTAGATTTAGATATTTTGAAACAAGACTCAGATTTTCATTTAAAATTTCTTTCTTGTTGTTATAGATCCTTGAGAAATAATTTGTGTGGTACAAATGTTTAGTCTTAATACGTATATTATAACAAACATATGCAGAAATTATAAGACATATAACCACCAGTCATCTAACAAGCAATTGAGCATTTTTCATCCACACAATGGTTGGTAAATAATTCCTAGACACACTATACAGATCAAGTGACACATTATTCATTTATCAGGTGCTCTTACAGATCTTGGGTAATGCCCATGAATTCTTAAAGGTATATTATAATGTGAAAACCACATAGTGGTTATTTCTCATTGCACATTTTTAAATAAACTTAAGAAGATATTGCTACCATAAAACGTTTCACTTATAGTCATGAATAGTTTTAAAACAGTGGACTACAAGATAAAATAGCCATTCCTTAGTATGGGATTCAAAGCTCTCCACAATCTGCCTCTACCCACCTCTCTGGCCTCATGTCTCACTGTTCTCCAACGTCTGCTAAACTCTCTAGTAGTAAACAATACCATGCTGTTTTCAGTTTCAGCGCTTTTGTATATGGTAATCTTTTTCTGACAAACTCTTTAATTCCTCTTCCCCTTCTACCACCATCTAACGTAACTTCCCTCTACAGAGAGACACTAACCAGCCTGCAGAGCTGGACAATTCCCAGGCCGCCAACCTGCTCGCACACATGACAGACACACAGATGGGGCTGGGACGAGATTAGAACCTGGCAGACGTGTCCTGTCTGAGTCTATCAAGGTTTTTATTAATTACATTAGCTTTCCATTGAAATGACAGGGACTAACAGCTGTTAGAAAGCCTAGAAAGATCACACTGAGGTTTGCGCCTGACCTACTGCAAGTGGCAGTGGCAGATCTTGTTCTTCAACAGGCAAGGAATCCTGGATCATTCCAGAAGGTACGCTTAGGAGAGGCTTTACCTTCTGCATAAGTATGTAGCTCATGTAGGTATTCATAAGTAAATACTCATATTTCAAAGGTTAAAATTGAAATGCAAGAGCAAAGGGTTAAAAACAGCCTGGAAGCTCTGAGAGAAATGAATAAGGGGGAAACATAACAAAGCAGACAGAGAAATTAAGACAGACAGATATGGAGGCAGACACATTGACTGAACAGAATAACGAGCCCGATTCCATAGTCATCAGGGAGATGGAAATCAAAACCACACAGAGATACCTCTTTATAACAATTTAACCGGCAAAAACTAAGCAGTCTGACAATTCCGAATGTTGAAAAGGATGTGAAACAACAGGATCTATTATGGATTACTGGTGGGAGTATAAACTGTTACAACCACTTGGGAAAACACTTTGGCGTTATCTTTTAAATTTAGACATTTAGATAACCTATGACCCATCAATTGCACTTCTAGGTCTATAGACCCTTGAATACATATGATGCATGGAAGAAACATGTACAAAAAACATTCTTAGAAGTACAACAGGAAAGAAAACAAAACAAAAAAGAAACAACCCAGTGACAATCAATAATAAACTAGAGAAAAAAAGTCTTCATATAACCATACTATGGAACATACAACAGTGAAAACTAATAAACTACAGTTACTTGGTTAAAATAGGTGAATTTCTGTAACATAATATTGTACCCAAAAAGCAAAAACTAGATGACAACACTGTATATAGTATGATACCATTTTTAAATTAAAAGACAATGCTCTCTAAACAACATATTATTTAGGCACACATATTTGTAATAAAGCCAACTAACAATAACTAACAAAAGAATAATAAACGTGAAATCCAAAATAGTGGTTACCTCAAAATAAAGGAGGAACTCCTAAGTATTAAAAAAATCATTAGTAATATTCTAGTTCTTGGGTAGGGGTTGGGCAATGTGTATTTTAAAAATAAATCAATAAACTATACAACCAAGATGGCACAGTAGGTTAATGCTGTATTTACCTTCTCTCACAACCATATCAAAATTACAACTAATCTACAAAACAACCATTATTGAAAATCGCCTAAAATCAAGCTGAACTTTCAACTTAGGACTTGCAGAAGAAGCTACCTCCAGAATGGTAGGAAGGTCAGAGACGTGGAACAGGGCTGGTCCCACACCCACGTGTGACCATGTGACCATTAAAGATCGGGAGGGCTATTTCGGCTGTGGAGGTCCCCCTCACCCCCAAGAGCGGCGAGAGATCCCAGCCCCAGCCCAGGGTTCCAGTGCTGGAAAGAGAAGTCCCCCTAATTCCTGGCTGTGACAACCAGTGGAGACTGGGACTGAGTGAGGCTGCACTTACAGGCGCTCTTTTTAAAGGGACTGCGTGCAGACTTACCCACCAAGGGAATCACTCGCTCTGAGCTCCAGCACTAGGGGAGCAGCTGGAGAGATGGCAAGGACATACAGGAGGGAGCTGAATTGTCTGGCTTGGGACAGGGACTGGAGAAGCGGCTTTCTCCTGGATGGGGGAGCTGATGGAGGCCACTGTTTCTTTGCTGAGCCCTCCCCTTCCCACGTGTGGACACAGGCAGCCACAATTTCTGAGTCTCCTTAGTTCGCCCCACCCTGGCGATTGAAGACCCAGCCCCACCCAACTTTCCGGCACACCTAGGCTGCTTTCAGTGGATTTTTCACGCAGACTGCCTGCCTTGACTCAAGCTGCAGACTTTCCTAGGGTCTCTCAAAGGTTAGCGGAACACAGACAAGCAGCATCTAGCTTGAGCGTGTCTGGTGCCTCTGGCTGAGCAGCCCTAAGCTGGCACTAGCAGCCATCAGCCTTGGTTGGCGACTTGGCCTCTCAAGGTGCTTCCAAGCACAGCATGGGTGGCAGCCATCTGCGGATTTCTTTCTGGCTCCAGCTGGGTGGCCCTGGGAGGAGCATGGGCTGGGGCTGAACTAGACCTACAGTGGATCCCCTCCAAGATGGTCCTGGGGCTGGCGCCCTCAGTGGCCAGCTTCAAAACAAGCTGGAGTATCACTCAGCCACCTCCAAGTACAACACACCCAAGGGGCAGATTGGGTAAGCACCAAAGTCCTGCTGAGGCAGATCCTGCTCCATAGGATCAGCCCCTGTACAACAACTCTTCCACTGTAGTGAAGGCCGGTCCTCACAACCAGTGAGCCCAAGGGTCAGTCCCTCACACTGATGTGCAATTATCAACCAAGGCTCAACTACAAGAGGAGGGCACACACAACCCACACAAGCAACACACCTAAAGCACGTGGCTCAGGTGACCAGGAAGACTGTGCCACTGCGCCCCACAGCACACCTACTACATAAGGCCACTCTAATAAGACTGGAAGACATAGCAGCCCTACCTAATATACAGAAACAAAAACAGGGAGGCAGCCAAAATGGGGAGACAAAAAAATACATGTCCCAAATTAAATAACAGAACAAAGCTCCAGAAAAAAAACTAAGCGAAATGGAGAGAAGCAATCTATCAGGCGCAGAATTCCAAACTCTGGTTATAAGAATGCTCAATGATCTCAGGGAGAACTTCAACAGAGAGATAGGAAGCATAAAAATGGAGATGGAAACCAAAAAAAATACCCAGTCAGAAATAAAGAATACAATAATGGAAACGAAGAATATACTACAGGGAATCAACAGTAGGTTAGATGAAGCAGAGGATCTAACCAGCAATGTAGAAAATAAGGTAGCAGAAAACACCCAACCAGAACAGCAAAACGAAAAAAGAATCCAAAAAATTGGGGAGCATTTCAGGGGCCTCCAGGGCAATATCAAGTGTACCAACATTCACATTATAGGGGTACCAGAAGGAGAAGAGTGAAAGCAAGGAATTGAAAACCCATTTGAAGAAATAATGACAGAAAACTTCCCTAACCTGGTGAAGGAAATGGACATATAAGCCCAAGAAGCACAGAGAATCCCAAACAAGATAAACCCAAGGAGGCCAACACCAAGACACATAATTAAAGTGCCAAAGGTTTAATACAAAGAGAGAATCTTAAAAGCAGCAAAAGAGAAGCAGTTAGTTACCTACAAGGGAACCCCCATAAGACAGTCAGCTGATTTCTCAATGTTGTAAGATCATGCAAGGTACCAGATGGGCACTGGACATATCAAGGGGATCACATCATCGACTGTTTAGATGCCTGACCAATGCACTATATTCCTTAAGAGCTAAATTAGAATAATACTGAATGTCAACTATAACTAAATATATAGGTGTATATATAGTCACGTTATATGGAGTACAGCATAGGGAAGATAGTTGATGGTATTGTTACAGTTATATAAGATGTCAAAGGGGTAGTAGCTTGGGGAGGGGGATATCACTTTATGAGGGGTTTAAATGTCTAACGTTGCTTTGTACACCTGAAACTAATTTAAAATATAAATTAAAAAATAATAAGTCAATAGACAACTAAATAAGAAATAAAATTGTCATAACTATAAGGATTTTGAATGTTTTATCTATCATTTACTGCTGAGGAATTACCAAATCGTATATAAATAGGTTTAATACCTTAGAAATTTCAGTGAATCAATAAAGTAACTCTTGAAAAATTAAACATAAGTATAATTCTTAAAACTTTTTAAATACCAAATTTCCTGCACTTTTTTTCAAAGAACAAAGAAATGATAGGGCTTTACGATACCTGATTTCCATGAAGATCCAATACATCTAAGCTTTTTAGATTCTCCAGATTTGAGATTTTCTTGATTCTGAAAATCAGAATAAGTAGAGCAGAAATGTAGATGTAGCACATCTATTATAAATCAAAATATGTTAAAGCCTAATTCACTTTAATTTATTATAGAAACCTATAAATATATAGATTATACAATTATATACACATTAAATAAAAACGTATTTCCCTTTAATTGAATTGTATTGTTCAAGGTACAGTCCCACTGGGGGAAATGTCCTCCCATCTTGAAAGTCCTATCTTTAAATAAGAGAAATTCTACTTCTAGAACCTTAGGCAAGGCACTTATTCAAGGAAGCCCCTTCTACCCTAGAATATGATCTAAACTCCTAACCTCAGTCCTCAAGGCCCTAGGCCATCTGGCTACTGCCCCTTCTCTAGCCTGCTCTCCTGCCACGGCTCAGGCTCACTGACTCACTCTGCTCCAGTCAGGGGCTTTCTTGTCTCTAACCTCACAAGTGCTTTTTTGGCTTGGGTGTGTACCCTTGCTGTTGATTCTTCCTTAATGTTCTTCCCCCGGGATCTCACATGGTTCACACCTTCACATTATTCAGGTCTCAGCTCAAATAGCGTCTCAGAATAGTGTCTCGAGGTGACCCTATCAAAAGTAGCCCTCCTTTCCTGTCCCCATTATTCTTTCCTTCCTCTACTTTAATTGACTTCAGTGCATTTATCCTCGCCAAAAATTATATTATTCATGTGTTTGCTTTTATATGCTCTCCCTCCTTAAACCAAAATGTGAGCTTCAAGAGGTCAGAAACTCTGATATGTTTCTACTCTACCCCTAGCCCTCGTGACAGTGCCTGACACTGAGTAGGCACACAGTAAGTATCTGTTTAATGAATGATGACCATACAAACTGAACAGATGAGTTTTATGTACAAGGGTATTTATAACAGGATTATTTAACACAGAGACAGATTGAATACCGCCCAAATGCTTTCTACTGGACTTGCTCAGTTTGCGAATATTATTTGGAATTTTTTATTTGCCATGTTGTGAAAAACTGAAACATTGCTATAAACTAAAATCACAGAATTTTATCTCTAAAACACCTCCTCCTATATCCCCTAATGCCTAGGGCCTACACATTGTCTCCCTCACTCCTATCTTCTATGGCTACCTCACCTATCCAAACTGCCTCCAGCTGGACTCTTCTAAAAACACAAAAGAAAAACCACTTCCTTTTATTGTTCTCCTTCTTGTAGATCCTACTTCCTCCTACTACCATTTTTCAGTAGAGGGAAAGGAGCAATGGCAAAGAAAGGATAAAAATTAAGTTCATGTAATCCATCTCTATCATCATCTTGCTTTCACTGTTTATTTCTGATGTCATTGTTTACTGCCTCAAAGAACCACTTCCAGCTTCCTACATGTTTCCAGAATCTGTGTCATCCCTTGAAACTTCATATATGCTGATCACCATGTAAACATAATGTGAACTTAAACTTCCTGAATTTCTATCTCCATTTGACCTCAGCCACCTTCCATAACTACCAAATCCAGAACTCTATCATGGCAACCAATTCAATACAATTTAATTTATAAAATTAGATTATAAATTAATTTATACCATCAGAGTGTACCATCACAGGGTGATTGTATTCTTCTCTCCCTCTCTCTCTCTCTCTCTCTCTCTCTCTCTCTCTCTCTCTCTCTCTCTCTCTCTCTCTCTCACACACACACACACACACACACCACTCCCTTATGACCATAACCTCCTCATCAGTTTCCTCTCTCACACCATCCCCCTGGCAGAAATCTGTTCTTTTCCTAGAAAGCACCCTACCCCCTAAACACCCCTAAGTCACTTCACCAAACCATTAACATCCTTCTGGATTCATCAGAATCCTTCATTAGCCTTCATCCTGAGTTAGGCATTGAATACTATTCTATCTAACACTTAAATCTCTCTAATAATAACAGTTAATAATAACAATAATACTAGCCAAACCAGATGGTAAAACAGACAAGACTTTCAATAAAATTATTCCTCTGCCTGCTTTGCTTCTGAAATGTCCAAACAGTTGGAGAAAATTACTGTACCCTAATAATATGACTTAGGACAGAGGGATGCTTTCTAACATCCACCTGACCACATGGCTATTAGAGAAGCCTTTTAGTCAATTATTTTATACTTCTAAGCTCACATTCCCTAAAACAGTGGTCTCAAACTTCTGTGTGTATCAGAATCATTTGCAGGACTTGCTAAAATATAGATTGCTGAGCCCCACCTCCAGAGTTTCTGGGATAAGGTCGAAAAATGTGCGTCTCTAACAAGTTTTTGGGTGATGCTAATGTGGCTTATCCAGAGATCACGTTTTGAGAAGCAATGCCCTAAAATATAGACCTTCTTCTTATCAAATCTCAATTCCCCCTTATATGAGCTTTTGGAGGGTGAACTCACCTACTTAATATAAAATACTAAAGCCTATTCTAAGGAAATAATCAGAGATGCAGACAAAGATTTACAGACAAGGGTATTCATCACAGCATTATCATAGCAAAAAAACAGTACACTTGTAAATGTCTAACAAAAGGGAAATATTAAGTAAACATGCATATATACCCATGTAGATTATACAGCTCTTCAGAAGATATATTTTCAAAGAACACTGAATGACATGGAAAACATCAGTACTAAAATATAAATTTTCACGTGAAAAGCACAGTATAAAAACAATTTTGTAACACTGTGATATGTGAATATAGAAGAGTGCTACTCTGTGTTGATAACTAAATCTTGGCAAGAAAGCAAAAAGATGACTGTGTGTCCTTTTGATGTCATATCACAGCACTGTCAAAAGCCTACCTAAGGATCATCTGAGGATTTACTACTGATGAGAAGCCCAAACTCTGTAGTTATATACTAACTTGTAGGAAACTGGTAAGATGTAATGATTTTTGACAGGTAGAAATGTAATTTATTTCTGTCTAGTAGGAAAGATGACCTGGAGGGTTGTACCTATGGCTTTGTAGGACATTAACCTGTTCTATAATTTAACAATCTTATTCCAGTGTTCTCTATTTTTCATTGACTGTGTATTAGTTTCTCTTATCCTCCTTTGAACCAGCTTTCTCATCCTACTGGTACCCTCATTCTTGAGTTAATTAAAATGTTGGCCTGTAATTACTACCTATGTGTCTGAGAATTATATTTTTAACATTTTGGAAATTATAAACAGAGGATGGAGAGTCTCCCAGCCAAAATGACTCTGATTTGGAGGATCCATGTAAACTCTTTCCATATTGATCAGAAACTGGGCACTTTTGAGGCACTTCAGTCTTAGAAACCTGAATATGTAATATGCCTATCCACAGGGCTTTACAGTAAGACGCCCCTGCCTGTTGTGATTTCAAGCCTCCTCCTAGCTTTGACCCACAGTGGCTTCATGACTCTCATTTCAGATCCTGATTGCTCAGGTGACAGGAAAAAAAATAGGCTAGTCGCTCAGTCAGTTAAACCCAAGACCAACTAAATAAACATCTTGCTGTCCCACTCTCATGAGTTGTCTTTGCCATAGATTCTCTCCCCACCCCCAGGACCTGCAATGACATAAAAATAGATATAATCTTACAGAACAGAGAGGTAGATGAAGGTATCCATTGACCTAGGAGACCACGGTCAGATTAGGTACCAAGGAGAGGAATTTTCAGAATCCTAGTCAGTTCCCAAATAGTTTAAGATTTTTACATTAACACCAATGTGACCTGAGAGATATTTTTTTTAAGTTCTCCCATTAAACAGAACTGAAACTAGAAAAAGGCAAGGCTCACCTATCACTTCAATAGTGCAGTCATTTAGGGCTATTCCCAGCCTGTCTCTGCAGGCCACATTATTTTACAGATGATGGGGAAAGACCCCATGGTAGGATCTATGTGAAGGCTAGGCTTTTTGGGTATCAGAGACAAATCCTTAAGTGGGAACCCTCAAACAATCAAAAGGAAAGGAATATGAAATCCCAGGGTCGGGCAAAGAGTTTTGTATATAGTTCTAGGTGGTCAGAAGAAAATGCAGAGAAATTCTGTTCATTAGCCTGTGACCATGAGGGCGCCAGAAAGTCTCACAAGGATGGACAGGGGATACATAAAGCAGAAGAGTTAGTTAGATGGCAAAAACCTCAGTAGCAAAATGGTATAGGGGGGTTAGGAGTTCTTTAGCAGCAATGTAACTTCACACCCAGGATCTGAGCAGGGTTTTTCTAGCTTTTGAGCAGAAATCTTCGCTGCAGCTGCTTGAACTTAGAGGCATATGGTGGCCCTGGGTTTTCATACATGGTCCCATTGCCTTGGACTAGAATGTCTTCTAGAACGATGCAGTGCTTCACCAGGTGGGAGGGAGAAAGCTTTCTGGACTTGAGCAGGAGGGGGCGGTGAGTCATCCAAGACTACCGTGAGGATGCTGGGCAGCAGGTGTGTGGCCCTCTTCTCAAGCAGTCCTCAGCCAGGTTTGCCCGGTGGACACTAAAATACTGCCTCAGGACAGACTTCCATCTTCAAGACTCACAGGCCCCTTGCTGGGACAAAGTCAGATGGCTGGAGAGGAGTGGGCATATGTTTAGGAATCAGATTTGCATGGTACTCACACTTCAGAAATACGCAACTTGGGAGAATGTGAAAAATTGTCCTCTGATTTATTTTCTTTTTTATTCAAGAAGGCTGTTTTAGAACTGTATAACACAAGGTATTTTCTTTATGGGGAAAATAAAGTACAATTGACCAAAAGCAAGCAAACAAACAAATAAAAAGATGGAGGGGTAGAGAGAGGGAGAAGAGACTGCAGTCGATTGCTTTTTACTTGACCATGGGAAGAATACAGAGAAGGGCATTGGGCCCCTTAGAGTTAGAGAAGCAGAGACTTTCAAAAGGTCAGAAGGTTCAATAGACTGGTGTCTTTGGGGCACACATTATTTTTTTCAAAAACTTAAAAGGTTGCTACTGAGAAGCCAAAAAAACTAAAAAGTAGAAATAGAAAAAGAGAGTAGATTGAGAGACGATTTCAAATGTTAGGAGCCA